CGTGCAGCCATTAGGGGACAAATCTGAGGACAAAAGCTCCTTATTGAAAGTAAAGCAGCAACAAAGAACTTGGATACTTGACCTTGTAAGTTTCTGAACTAACATAGAATTATCCTACTTCTTGATTGCTTTGTATGTGAGATGATAAATAACTGATTATTAAAGCCATTTTTAATTTTGGGCTTCCTGTTGTTTGCAACCCAAAGCATAGTAATTGGCTAAAATTATGGCACTGCTTTAACCTACCTCTCTAGTGCCACCATGCAAAGAGACAATACCAAAATGATACTTTGTAAAAGTAGTGCTGTTTAGCAATGCTTGTCAGGGGTCTCAACCAAATTTGTTAGGAGTTACTTGTAATTTTTTTCACACATATCATTAAATCATTTTAAGTTTTTTCTCCTCTTCAAACATTTGGATTGATAAATTTTAATAGTGTATCCTAATTTAGTTACAAAATCATGTAGGAAACATGAATTATTCCTTATTTCTCTTGTAATTTGTTGTGATAAGAAATAAGGTCATCTGGTTCATCCTCCACTTCAAATGGTAATCTCTTCTAGTTTTCTCCACAAGTGAGAAAATAGTAACAATGAAGGTAGTCGTTATTTTCATTTGCTGAGTGTTATGTTAGGTGTTTTTACATATCATCGCATTTAATCCTGATAGCATTGTTATAGGTTAGTTATTATTATTATTGCCTTCTCATTTTAGGTGGAGGAAGATTTAATTACTTACTTGAGATCCCTATGTTAGTAAATGTGTTAAACTTCTAATGTGCTTGAAATGTAGTGTGCTTCTGAAAAAAAGTGGGTTGAATGAATGAATATACATATGCATGTATAGAACCTAAGATTACATCAATCATTTTAGAAGCCATTCTATACTGCCAGCTTTTTAAATTGACTTTGTAATCAACTAAATAAATTCCACAAGACTTTTTTTTTAAATATGAACTAGAGCTGTTGAACCAGATCATACCTATTTCTTATACTGGTGAAATTGCTCATTTTAATTTAAATGCTGGACTTTACAGTTATCATTGTTATATTTGTTATTATGTGGAATTGTGATCTTTCATCTATGTTAATCTTTCTAATTTATGTTATGTGTAATTTTGATAATTATGCATTCTTTGTTTTGAAGTCATTGATGAAAATGTTGGACAGGAAAGGGCCAGATCATGCTGGTATACTGTCAGCATTTCTACATGTTCTCCCAAACCATCTCTCTAATTATCTAGTACAGAATTTTCTCCAAGACTCTCATTAAGATTTACAGCCTGCAGTGTTTTAAATATACTTCTTTTGTGAAAATTGGGTCAATATTTGCAAGTCTCTAGGAACCTTACCAATTCTTCGCAGTTCTTCACAGACAAGCAGAAATATTTCCGTGATCACATTTGCAAGGTCTTTTGGTTCTCTTGAATGTAATTTCCCTGGGCCTGTTGACTTCAACTCATTTGAAGTATCTAGATTTGTTCTTAATCTTCCTTTGCTTTTATTTTCCTCTTAATCATTTTATTTTAGATTTTTATATTTGGAAGATCATTTTCCTCAGTAAAGAAGGAAGGTGGGAAAAATTTGGAGTCAAATAATTTTGCTTTCTCTCTTGCATTCATTGACAATAGCCACCCTATCATTTGTCACCTTTCAGACACTGTTTATTGCATAGCTCAGTTGCCCCCTATTCCACACGTCCTGAAGATACCATCCCCAGTCAGATATAAACATACCACCCTTACACAGTCCTGGACCACAGACCTTAAGGTTTATAGATTTAACATACACATGTTTTTTGTTTTTGTTTTTGCCTTTCAGATTATTTATCTCCTGATCATCAAAGATTTTAATTTTTTACTTACCCAAAGGGGTCAGGAGTCAATCTGTATATTGAAAGATGTGACTGTATCTGGTGAGGGCAGAAGGGTACAAAATATTGTGCAAATGAGGGGTATTTACTGCCTTCCTGACTGTAGACTGAAGGAGGCAAGGACTTTGACATTTTCTCCAATGCCTATCTGTATTTCTAATGCCTGTCCCATAGTACATGCTCAATAGATATTGATTGAACTAATTAAAATTGTCCTTCTCTACTGTCAAACTATAACAACCGAAAAGGGCATATTCTTGCTGGATGAGAACATCAAGGAGACAAGAAGGAAGCTGAAGATATGTCTCTCAAGTCATCCTCTCACCCTTCTTTCCTTCCTTCCTATTTTAACCTTATTACACTGCCTGGGGCCTCCAGTAAGAAGTTGAGTAAGAGTGGTGAGATCTGGCAACCTTGCCTTCTTCCCAATATTAGAAAATGGTCTTTGACCACTAAGTATGATGTTAAGTGTAGGGTTTTTGTAGGTCAGATTGAGGAAGTTAACTTCTATTTTTTAGTTTGCTGAGAGTTTTTATAATGAATAAATATTCAATTTTGTCAAATGATTGTCTTAAATCTACCATATTGCTATTTTTGTCTCTTTGTCCATCTGTTCTTTGTTTCCTTTTCCTTCTTGCTTTTGGATTAATATTTTTTATGATTCAGTTTTTCTCTTTGGCTGGCTTATTATACCTCTTGGTTTTTTACTTTTATTTTTTGGTGGTTGCTTTATGGTTTAGAGTATACATCTTTAACATCAAAGTCTACCTTCAAGTAATATATTTCACTTCACATATGTTATAAGAACCTTTTGATAATATACTTCCAGTTCCTCTCTTAGGGTTTTTGTACTATGGTTGTTACACATTTTACTTCCGCATATATTGTCAACCCCATTTGTTGTTGTCATTTTTGCTTTACATTGTGTTATCTTTCAAAGAGATTGTGAAAATAAGGAAAAATATTTATATTTGCATATACATCTGTATGTGCCATTTTCAGTGCTCTTTATTCTTTTGTGTAGAACCAGGTTTCTGTCAGGTATCCCTTTTCCATCAACTTGAAGAACTTTTTTAAACATTTGTTGTAGCACACCTTTCTGCTGGTGATAAATTCTATCAGCTTTTTAATGTTTAAAAAATATGTTTTGTCTTTATTTTTTAAAAAAACTTTCTCTGTGTATAGAATTCTAGGTTGCATTTTCTATTGTTTTCAAATGCTTTCAAGATGTCCTGCTGTCTTCTGGCTTACATTGTTTCTCACAAAAAGTCTTCTGTCATTTTTATCTTTGTTTCTTGGTACTTCATGTGTCTTTTTTTCTCTCTGTTTTTAAGATTTATTTATTTATTTATTTTAAGTTATTTTACTATAATGTACATTAGTATAGTTTTCTTCATTTTTCTTGGATCTATGGTTTTATTATTTTTCTCAAATTTGGAAAAACTTTGGCCATTACGTTTTCGAATTATTTTTCTCTCATGGAGTCCAGTTACATGTATTTTATGTTGTTTTCATTTGGCCCATGACTCACTGATCTTTGCTCATTTATTTTCAGCTGATTTTTCTCTGTGTGTTTCATTTTGGATAGTTTCTATTGCTGTGTCCTTAGGTTTACTGATTTTTTCTTCTGCATTATCTTATCTGCTATTGCATTTTTAAATTTCAAGTACTTTAAAAAAAACTCAATTTAATATTTTAAAATATCTTTTATGTCTATTCTTATAATATGCTTATATTTTCCTCTACCTTCTTGAATACATGGAACACATCATAATAACTGTTTTTAATATCCTTGTTTATTGATCCCATCATCTCTGTTATATCAGAGTCTATTTCTATTCATTGGTTTTTCTTATTGCAGATCATATTATTCTGCTTTTTTGCATGCATGGCAATTATTTTTTATTGCTATTAATTTTAAAGAATTTTTATTTTGTTTTGTTTGTTTTTTGAGATGGAGTCTCACTCTCACCCAGGCTGGAGTGTAGTGGCATGATCTTGGCTCACTGAAGCCTCTGCCTCCCTGGTTTAAATGATTCTCCTGCCTCAGCCGCCCAAGTAGCTAGGACTACAGCTGTGTGCCACCACATCCACCTAATTTTTATAATTTTTTAAATAGAGACAGAGTTTCACCATATTGGCCAGGCTGGTCTTGAATTCCTGACCTTGTGATTTGCCCACCTCAGCCTCCCAAAGTGCTGGGATTATAGGCGTGAACCACCATGCCTGACCTGTTGCATCATTTTTTACCAAATTTTAAGAATGTGCAGAACAAGGAATATAAAAATGCCCTAGAAATTTTTTTAGTGTTCTACTCTTATAATCTATGTTTTCCATGCATATGGGGCATTTTCATATTTCTGTCCTTTCTAATGATTTCTAGGTTGATTTTTTGGGGAGATGTGTAAAGTATCAAAAACATGTTTAATGTATTCACATCTGCTAATATTTTAATTATTTGATTTTTAAATTTCAACTAAAAATAATTCGTGTTGATGTTTATATTCCATGTAAATATTTTGCTGTAATGTTATCACATATTCTTATGGTTTTTATCAAGTAAAAAAATTCCCATCATTATGTTCATAAATTTTTTTGTATGATACTCTGAAAGCTAAAAATTGCCTTGGTAAAAATTAAACATATATATTAAAAGTTCAGTCTCATTTTTATTTACTCTGTAGTCTGTAGTAAACTGTGTTACTTTTTTAAAATTTGGATTTTAGTTCTCTGTACTTAACACTATAATTGATGTACAATTCTTCACATACAATAAGAATATCTTATGAACACTTTATTTTTTATATTCTTTTACATTCTCATTCTTTATATTTCCCATGTCTAGGAAATTTGCAACATAGAGAAAATACATACTCTTTTTTAGTAAAATAAAATAACCTGATCTATTGGGGGTTCTTAGGTTTATTTTTCAGTTTCTATAATTTTGTGTGCAATATTCTTAATAATTTCCTATTTGTCTGTGTTTGGAAAGTTAATTACCACTACTACATCACTATCTTCTCTAGCTGGTATGTTTAAGTTTGGGTAAGTGAGTGGGGGTTTTTGTGGCAATGGGAAATAACCCTGTAATGATGAAAAATTTAATACCTCCCCCCTCTCTTTTATAGTATCAAAGGTGCAGAATCTGGGATAAGTTGCATGAAGAGCATATCAATGCAGGACGTACAGTTCAGGTAAGGCTGTTATATTTTTTCTGCTAAATCAGTATGAAATAGACAGTCTTTAGACAATTTTGCTAAAATATTTCCTTTGCAGCTGAATCCTTTTATACACATTTGTCACTATTTCCTTGAGGATACATTTTTAGCAGAACTTGCTGAATCATATGTGATACATATTTTTAAGGTTTTGTTTTATTACCAAATTTTCTTCCAGAAATGACATGTTGACTTCTATACTCTCACAAGCAATGAATTTTCTAAAAACCTTTTAAATGAATTGCTTGTGAGCATATATAAGTCATTGGTATTACCTATTTTTTAAAGTTTTGCTAATTGATAGCTTAAAATAATGCCACTTTGTTGTTTTAATCTGGATTTGTAAACGCTTTGTTGTTTTAATCTGGATTTGTAAACACTTTGAAGGATGAACTTTTTTTCACATGTCCTGACAGTAATTTTTTGTTGTTAATTGCCTGTTAATATATTTGTATATATTATATTATATTGATGTCTTTTGTGAGAGCTCCTTGTAAGTTGAAAGATACTGATCTTCTCTGTCTACAATTAGTATTGCAGATATTCTTTACTAGTCATTTGCTAGGCTGGAGTGTGGTGGGGCTATTTTGGCTCACTGTAACCTCTGCCTCCTGGGTTCCAGCAATTCTCCCACCTCAGCCTCCCAAGTAGCTGGGATTACAGGCACACACCACCATGCCCAGCTAATTTTTGTATTTTTAGTACAGACAGGGTTTCACCATGTTGGTCAGGATGGTCTCCAATTCTTGACCTGGTGATCTGCCCACCTCGGCCTCTCAAAGTGCTGGGATTACAGATATGAGCTACTGTGCCCTGTTGTTATTTGCTTTTTAAGAATAAATTTTAATTATTTTAACATAATTTTTAAAAATAATATGTTTACATGGTTTAAAAGCCAAATACAAATACAAGTCTTATAATATCCCATATTCTCCACTTGCAAGTGCTCCTACTTGGAACAAACCACTGTTAATCCTTTTGACCATTCTCCCTGCAATTTACTTCTTTATTACTAAATCACATGTGTAGACTGATATTTCTTGATTAATCAGGTTTAGATTTTTTTTTTTTTTCTTTTTTTGAGACAAAGTCTCACTCTTGCCAGGCTGGAGTGCAGTGGCGCGATCTCGGCTCGCTGCAACTTCCACCCCCCGGGTTCAAGCAATTCTCCTGCCTCAGCCTCCTGTGTAGCTGGGACTACAGGCATGCTCCACCATGCCCAGCTAATTTTTATATTTTTTAGTAGAGACAGGGTTTCACCATGTTGGCCAGCATGGTCTCAATCTCTTGACCTCGTGATCCACCCGCCTCGGCCTCCCAAAGTGCTGGGATTACAGGCGTGGGCCACCACGCCCAATCTTCTGTTTCTTTTTTTCTTTTTTTAGGGGGATGAGGGGTTAGAGTTTCGTTCTTGTTGCCCAGGCTGGAGTGCAATGGCACAATGTTGGCTCACAGCAACCTCTGCTTCCCAGGTTCAAGTGATTCTCCTACCTCAGCCTCCTGAGTAGCTGGGATTATAGGCATGTGCCATCACGCCCGGCTAATTTTGTATTTTCAGTAGAGATGTGGTTTCTCCGTGTTGGTCTGGCTGATCTCAAACTCCCAACCTCAGGTAATCTGCCCCCCTTGGTCTCCCAAAGTGCTGGGATTACAGGCATGAGCTGTCACATCCGGCCTATTTATTTATTTATTTATTTAATTTCTTATGGTAGGTGGAACTCTAGCTTCCCAGCTTGCTCTTCTACTCCCCTTCCCCTGTATAATTACATATATTACAATTTATGGTTAAATTAATGTAATATAAACTCATTATATTGATTATGAAACTATTGTTTTCTGCTAAGTCAAACAGTGAACTATAGTACCGCCTTTTACTTTTTAAAATTTAGTAATTGCCTCATTTTTTAGTAGCCTGGTTTTCTCTGTATCCGTGCTTAATTTTCTCTAAATGCTTCACATCTCTGTCACATGCTATCAATAATATTTCTTATATGCTCAAATAGATCAGTTCGAGTCTTTATTTTAAAGATTTTCTTCTGAACTCTTCTTCCCCTAGTTCCTATGTGGACTTCCTAGGCTTGTTGTGCAGCTGCTGTTCTGGGACTTTCCTTTGCTGCTTTTCTGTGTTAAGTCTCTGTTTTCCTAGGCATTATGTCTTCCTCATTTTTGGTTTATTCTTTTTTTTATTATTATTGGAGTAATCTTGCAGTAGCCTTCTAATTAAGGGTATCTTGGAGATAAATATAAGTAATTATATTTCTTAAAAATGCCTTTATTCTCCCCTGATATGTGATTGCAAAGTTCGCTAGATATAGAATTCTCGTTGGAATTCTGTTTCATTATTGAAGCCTTTCTATCTTTTTTGTGTTATACTTTAAAAAAGCTAGTATCATATGATTTTCCAGTCTTTGTACAGGACCTGCTTTTGTTTTGTTTTGTTTTTTCCCTGTTTGGGATGTTTTGAAATCAGTTCATCTCTGGTATTCTGAAATTTGATGATGATGTCACTGTGTTGGACTGTTTCTTTCTACAAACTCATGTTCTTTAGTTCTGGGTAATTTTCTTAGATTTTTCTTTGGTCGTTTATTCTTCTATGTTTAATGTCTTTGCTGCTTTTTTTTTCTTCTTCTAAGTGTCAGCAAACTTTGGCTTAGAGGCTGTGTCTGGCCTTGTGTCCATTCCATATGCTTACACATTTCTTCGGCTGCTTTCACACTGTAACAGCAGAGTTAAGTAGTTGCAGCAGAGACTGTATGGCCTACAAAGGCTGAGCTGTTTACTTACTGGGCCTTTGCAGAAAAAATTTGCCAGTCCCTGTTCTATGGGATGTCGGAACTCTTGGGTTACTTGTCTGATATTTGCTCTATTTTCGAAAAGATTCCCTCAGGTTTATCTTTAACTTTTTTCTTTGAATTCTTTTTATCTGTTATTATGCTATGTAGTTTACAAGAGCTTTTTCTTATTCTCTTTTCTTTATAGCATTTTGTCCATGGGTGTAATAGGTTTTTTTATTTGTTTGTTTTTCTGAGATATTAAAAAGTGGATTGCTTGTCTTCTGAGGGACTTAAGGATGTTTGGGCAAGCTGGTATTTTCCTTAGGGATACCTCTAAATATCAGTATCTGGAGGTTGTTCTTATTTGGTTTTCTGAAGAAGAATCCCTCTTTTCCCCCTAGGGCAGGTAGGTGCTTATCTTACAGAGTTATAGAGGCAGATTAGATAAAGGCTTCTGGGCTTTCATTGTTCAGCACAGGCTTTCACACAAATCTCTGTTTTTCAGTCCTGTGCCTGCTGGTATTTCTGAATCTAGTGTCAGTCGCTCCAAAGAATACACCTGTGGTCCTCTTGAATTTTCAAAAAGGTTATTATAGCTGCAGTATAGTGATTAAATTGGGATAGAATGAAATGAATTCAAGAGATCATTAGGAAGGGTTACAGAGGTCCAAGAAATAGATGTTAGTAGCTTAGAGATAGTGGAGATGGAGGAAACTGATTTGAAGTTTAGGTGGAAATTTGACTTATCTCTCTATAGCTGTATTTACTGCTTGCTAACTAGATTATATGCCTAATGAGCAGAGACTGTGTCTCTATATTTGTATATTCCGCAGCATCTGGTACCCAGCAAGATATGGTGATTATTGAATGGTACTGAGCATGTTAATGATTTAATGAGATTATTATGACTTAGATTTCCTACCGTCTTCACTGTTTATCATTAACAAATCACATGATTTGCTTGAGACATTAGTTATGGTCAAAGTATTTGTTTACTGATTTTTAAAATATGCATATATGTTTACCATATTGACCTCCATCTGGCGTAAAATATTTATGGGTGCTATTAAAGTAGTGAAATTGAAGCTATTGTTAGATGTAGTTATTTGCTTAGTTTTTTTCATGTCTGCTCTGAATTTTGTATATAGTTTTCTTCTTTGCTACTTAGTGTAAAAGTTATTTTGGGACAAATAATTTCATCAACAATTATCACCAATTTTCTAGAGGTATCATCATTAGATTTACATAGTAAAAGCTATATTGTCACATTCATTATGGTATCTTGATAAAAAGAAGTTCTTAATTTAAATGTAGTTTAAGTTACCAATCTTTATGGTTCCTACTTTGGTGTGTTGTTCAAGAATTCCTCTCTTGGAGGAGTCAAGAAGACATTTTTCTATATAATCAATTGAGAGATTTAAATATTTAGCTTTTAGCATTTAAGTTTTTAATCCATCTGGAATTGGTGGTATCAGGTAGGCATAAATAAAATCTTATTTTATTCTATTTTTAAAATCACTTGTATGTCACTATTACCTGATTTCTATGGTGCTACTTCTGATGCATATTGTAATTCCAATGATGCGTGTAATTCCATATGTCTCTGATCTTTATATTCTGTTCCACTGTTCAGTCTATTTCTGCACCAAATTCCACATTATGTTAATTATGACAGTTTTAAGATAAGACTTGATATCTGATTGTTCCACAGTATGCTTCCTTTTCAGGAGTATTTTGGCTATACTTGGCTCTTTAGTCCTTCACATGAAATTTAGAATCAGCTTTTCAAAGCTGAGAAGTTGAGACAAAGCTGGGAAGTTGAGAATTGCATTGGATTTATAGAAGAAATTGACATCTTTACAATATCTAGTTTTCCTGCCTGTGAATATGGAATATTCTTGCATTTGTGTTCATCTTCTTTAGTATTTGGGTGTCTTTATAGTTTTTTACATGCAGGTTATGGCGATTGTACTTTCTAAAGATACTAACAAAAATATCCCCCATTCCACCTTGCTACTCCTCCACCAATAGATGGAGTCTAATTCCTCTCCTTTTGAATCTGGGCAGAAGTAAAACTGCTTTTGTTGACTTGTTATTAGTTTATTTTAAAATATGTTGTAATTGCATTATTTTTCCCATTTTTGTCACTTATCAAACAAAAGTATAAAATGAATATTTTACAAAGCTGAGTCTTCCTCTGCT